GAGCCCCGGGGCCTTCCCCCCCCCCCAGACAGCCTGCAGGATGGGGGGGCACTGGAGGAGGGGGACCCCCTGGAGCTTTGCCCCTCCCCAGACAGCCTGCAGGATGGGGGGGCACTGGAGGAGGGGGGGCTGGTCGCCCCCACCCACGGCTCAGAGCTGAGCTCACCGCCCCCCGCGGAGCAAAACAGGCCCTGAAGTTCTACAGGTCGAGGAAAGTGCAGTTTGGGGGCCCAGCTCCCTGGGAAGCCCCTCCCCCAATGGGACCCGAACCCCACCTGATTTCTCTAGCTGAGCCCCCTTTGGGGGGACGTGCAGGCTGGCCCCTCCCCCGGGGACCAGCCATTCGCGCTGGGCTGGGGAGTCAATCCACGTGAGTTTTATTAAGCACACGCTGCCGGATTTCCGCAGTCGCAGGGGAGAACCGGCCGAGCCAAGTGCATCGCCCCTGTCAAAGAACAACACAGGTGGGTCTATTGCCTCCGCTCACCACTCGCCCTAAAGCTGTTCTCATCCCCACTACGCCACCAAGCCAGGGCGGTCCCCCTGTGCCCGGGGGGCTTTCGTTATCCTCCTGGCTGCGCTTCACAAACAGCTCGCTTCCCGTTGTTGTAGGGATACCGCGTGGGGCGGGAATTCTTCTGCCTTCCCCCCTTCCGTGGAAAATCACAGCTGGTCAGATGCTTGCCATGGGGGGGGGGCATGTGTGCGTGTTACGCAGCTCCCGAAGACCAACCACGGCTTAGACTCAAAAGACAAAAGGGACGAGAAGTCCTTGTGACACCTTCTAGGCGAACAGATTTATTGTTCGTGGGCAAAGCCCCACTTCGTCAGATACACGGAAAAGGAAAATACAACCTGTTGTGGCTCCTGGAGCTTTCACAGGTGACACCTTCTAGGTGAACAGATTTAATGGAGCATCAGCTTTTGTGGGCAAAGCCCCACTTCGTCAGATACACGGAGTGGACATTACAGAGGCAGTACATGAACAGAAAGGAGTGCCAGTCGAGAGCAAGGTTAGAGCGAACGAGGTCAGTTCAGTCAGGGAAGATGAGGCCCACTTCTAGCAGCGGATGTGGAGGCCTGAACACCAAGGGTGCGGCTAAACTGGCAAAATTTTGCGCAAAAGCAGCCACTTTTGCACAAAAACTTGCCAGCTGTCTACACTGGCCGCTTGCATTTTCGCAAGAGCACTGGACCTTGAAACCCTCACTTATTTACACTATATAGATATATATACACACAGATACACATACATTCTCGCTGAACCTTTCTTACACTATTTCAACAGAGGTGTACAACGATTACGTTCCCTTTTATTCATTGGGGTAGTTAAGTTCCAATAGAAACCCTCTTAAAGTTCTTTTAGCAATATCTGTAATCAAATGTATGGATTTGAGTCAAATTTGCCTGGATTATTTACAGACATTCTTTTGGAAAAGGGCCCATTTTTCCTTCCGAATGGCTGCAAAGAAACCACAATTTTTTCCTATACCATTTTAGCATTTTCACAACTGCTCAATTCGTTCCATTCTCTGTAGAGTTGAATTCTCTGTAGGTTTTCTTTTTCTTAAAACACTTTCTTCTCTCTTAATGAGAACTGGCCTTGTTTCAGATATTACTCTTGTAAGTTTTGTTTTAAGGATTTAGATTTCCAGTACCTGTACTTACTGCTTTTTCTCAGTTCTACCACAAGGCCTTCAATCTATCTTTTACCTGCCTGCTTGGCTGGGCCTGATCCTGTTTTTCTTGCTAAATAGAAACTGGCTCCTTTCCACAGACTCAGGCTTTGTCCCATTACTTTGTCGACAAAACCCTGTAGTCTAGACATACTCCAAGAGAGGAGAAACTACTTTGGAGTTGGCTAGCTATTCCCCGTCTTTGTTCAGTCCTAAACTGATAGGCTGTGTCTACACTGGCCACTTATTCCGGAAAATCAGCCGCTTTTCCGGAATTTCTACCTCTCCACTCTGCAGCAGAGGCTTTTACATTTTGCAGTTTCATATTTGCATTCTTATATTCGGTCGATTTGAGGAACACCTCATTACAGGTTTTCCAGAGAAGCCAAACTGCAGCTGCTTCCTTTTCCATTGGAGTTGAGGGTTTATATATCCATAAGTAGTTAGCCAATTTGTCTTCTAGGTCTGAAATTCTTGCGCCAGAAATTCGTGTTGCCTGTCTACACTGGCCTCTTCTGGAAGAGCTCTTGCACAGGATGGCTTCTTCCTGAGCAGGAGCGTCAGAGTTCTCGCGCAAGAAGTCCTGATTTTCTACAGCATAACGTCAGTTTACTTGTGCAAGAACACGCGGCCAGTGTAGACAGGCGGTATGTTTTCGCGCAAGAGCGGCCGTTTTCGCGCAAGAACGCGCCAGTGTAGACACAGAATTTGCAGATGAACGGTAGCGCTGCAGTTTCTCTCTGGAGTGTTTTGGAAGTTTTTTGGTGGCAGGATGGCTACTTTCCAATCTGCTACTGTGTGTCCAGGGAGCCCAGAGTAACTGAGTATCAAAGTACAGGGCGGAACAGCCTTCTACAAAAGGGAAAATGACAAAGCACGGTGAGCCAGGCGCCACCACCCCATTCATGAAGGGAGATCCCAGAAAACGTTACTATTCACAGACAGCGCTTTAAGCATCGCCGCACTAAAGAAAGAGGCCAGTAAGGCAAATCTAACTAAACATTTCCTATCTACAAATGACCTGGGCCGTGTCCAGACTCAGGGGTCTGGTTTGGCCGATGTACACAGCTGGCACAAAAGGGGCTGTTTGCAGAGGATCACCCCGACTTTCCGGGTCACCCCCCGGATGGCTTCCACTGGGCACAGGTCAAACCACACACCCTTCCCTCCCCCATAGCGCTAGCTTCACACGCCACAGCGACACCCACGCCCCGAAGCAGGAGGGACGAGTCCAGCCGCTTGAGACATGAAGCCGAACCGGTGACAGGAGGTGTCCAAGGCATCTTCGAGAGAGGCATATTGGTACGCATCAGGCAATTTCATAAAGTGGGGGGGGTTGGTCACAGGGTCTGGCCCAGGCTCTTTCGAAAGAAGCCTGCAGTCTAGACATAACCCTGGATTCAGCGGGAAAAATGCCAAATGCCACCTTCCCCAGAGGTTTAAGCTGTGATGTGTCGACCTGAAGAGACGGGAGCTACTTTGTTAGAGCGACCCAACGACCACCCGAGATTTTATCTTTGTG